TCCTTCCATATCAAACAAAAGTTTTGGATTCCTTTGATATCCTAAAATTTTTACAGAATAAGTTTCTTGTGTGGAAATCCTTTTCCATAATTTTTTGGAAATGAACCAAACAACCCCTTAAAGGAAAGAATTTGGTTATAAGGAGAGAGATTAGAGTGAGTGGGACCCTGCGTTTCCCATTCTTCGAATAAGAATTCTAAAGACAGGTATTACTCGGATACCAAATGCACCCTCTCCACATTGGGCTAAAAACACATAAATTTGGGCTCGGATGTCCAATTTTAATTGATCGCATATTATTGAAGAAGATTCAAAGTGCGAAAGCAGTACCGAGTTCAATTCAAGCTTGAAGGATTATAAATTGTTTCTGAAAACAGAAAGCATTATCTGCAACTTATCCTATGTTTCATATGGTTGCTGCTCTTGCCAAATCAGGGAGAATAGGATTCTTTCAGCCTTCAATATAATCTGCTCACATCGGGATCTTCTCTCTAGACTAATCACGTTGTACAATAATCTCTGGCATAATAAATGTTGTAGTCTAGAGAGAGAGAGAGAGAGAGAGAGAGAGAGAGAGAGAGAGAGCAAAATTGTCTTGTGATAACAAGCGAGCGAGCGAGAGGCATAAATATCTGGGCGCGATTTTGCTCTCAAGTAGCCTCCACCATCCGTTTAAAAGGATGAGAAAGCGCTACATCATCATCCGCCGAAAGTAGTAAGAGAGAGAGAGAGAGATCCAAAGAGACAATTACTTAACAAATTAGAAATAACATTATACATGCAATAAAAATTTCCTAATTAACTGTCCCATTATTCTTTCTCTGAATGGCTCGTACAGTGTTGTGTAAAATTTATACTCGCGTTTAACTTGATTGGTATAAAATTCAGTTCGAGTCACGTCTTACAAATTAGAATAGATGTCTCAGATACTAGAATAGTCTGTATTTTGAAGGAAAAACTTATTAATTATTGCTTCTCCTATTAGAATTTTCTTTAAAAGGGAAACATAAACATTTATAGGCGCATTTTCAAATAATCTAAAAATTCATGCCTGAAATTATGGCGGCTCCACATTTGCGGGATTCCCTCTGTTGGTTGGTTCCCTTTTTTTAATGAGCAGAGACATACAATCAGCCTTATTTTTGGTGGATCCACACATCATAAAGTACCTATATTCAAAGGAATATATCCAGTCAACTGAAAACGTTGACCCAAGAGCTACTAAAGAGTTTTAGAAAGTAATCCTTTTAACTAACTCGTCACTGATCTAGCCATCATACATGTCAAATTAATAAACAAATAACAAAAAGAAAACAATACATAGTATAACAGAACTTTCTAATTTATTTATTTTATAAAAAAGGGATTAATATAATATACTTCTTTTTTTTCTTAATTAATTTTAGACGTCTTTAGTTTCATGCTAATTAAGAAGAAAAACCAATAAAATTCAATACTCAATGAAATATCAAGGCCTAAATATTAAAAAAAACTTTAACTTTGGTCAATTATCAGAAAATCCCACTTAACTTTCAAAATACCATAACCCCCACCCCCCACCACCCCCCCCCCCCCCCCCCACACACACACACAAACCAAAAAAAACAAATTAGGGGTTTTTTTGACTAAATATGAAAGTTAAAGGGGTTTTTTTTGATAAAATCTAAAAGTTAATGGGGGGTTTTGTGGTAATGCTTATACTTAAGGGGGAATTTTCTGATATATTGAAAGTTAAGAGGTGTTTTCCGATAATCGTCCAAAGTTTAGGGGGTTTTCTTATAATTACCCTAATATCAATGCCTAGTCTGAATGCGAACCTAGGTTGAGTTGGTCTCGGGTTCATCTGCATCATACTTCACACGATTCTATTATGAATTAGACTTATGCTCTTAAATTATGTTTGGCAATTTCATAATAGAATCGTGTGTTTCGACTAAATTTTGCTTAACTAGGGATTAATAGAAAAAACTAGTTTAAAGCCTAAGCATAGGGGCGTGTTTGGCCAACTGATTAAACTAGTTTTAGCTGAGAGAAATTTTGCCCAATAGTCTAGTGATACAGGAGATACAAGACGAGATGACTGAAATACGAGACGAGACGACTAAACAGATGGACGAGACGAGACCCCGAGACGAGACGACTAAACAGATGGACGAGACGAGACTCGACTCAAACCAGACGAGACGACAACAAACCAGGCGAATCGAGATGACGACTCGAGGCGAAGCAACCCAGCCGAGACGAACAGACAACTCGAGGAGACGATAGACGACAGGACGAGTCGACACCTGCGAGTCGACACGAAAGGTGGGACTACTCTACATACTCAGTCGACACACCCCAGTCAACACGAGGGGCGGTGTTAGTCGACACATCCCAGTCGACACGAGGGGCGGTGTTAGTCGACACATGTAAGTCGACACGAAAGGCGTTACTACTCGCCATGTCTCGTGTCGATTCGGAAACAAATTAGGAAAGTTTCATATTTTTGGTTATTTCCTTTTAATTTCAGACTTTCTTTTTTATTAGGGTTAGGATAGAATTAGTTGGCTATAAATATTAGTTCCTTTTATAAATCAAGATTTATCTTTTCAATTATTAAAATCAAGAGAATTTTCTCCACTGTTTCTTTCCAAAGTTTGAAAAATTAGGGCTTGAGGATTCAAACTTGTTTCTTACCTGCTATTGTCCCTCTTAGTTTGAAATGGAACTGGTTTGCTATAACCCTAAAAAAGCATTGGAAAAGGGAAAAGAAAGGCACCAACTAAGACCAGACCAATTTCATTTAAAAAGTAATCAAACTAGGTTCAACTCAAAACCAAGAAACTAGTTCATTCTAATCTATGCTAATAAGTGTTGTTATGGTAATTTACCATCTGAGGATGAAAATGTCAAGAAAATGTCTCCATAAGCTTAAAGAGAAATGGTCCAAACAATCTCAGAGGCCCAGAAGCCCAGCCAATGTCAAGTCTCTTGGTCAGACGAGCAGACAAGCCTTCTTTTCGACCAAGGGTCATCATGACGACTCGAAGTACGGGTTTAGTCGCCCCTTCGCAATCAAGACGACTCCTCGAGCAGATGACTCGGCCACACACCCAACCCAAAGCTTACTCGACTATCGGGTCGACAAATCATAATGATGGCTCGAAGGCTAACCCGCCTCGACTAAAGGGACAAGATCCAACCAGGCTCACTTCAGATGTCAATCGACACAACAGTATTGACCAGTCCCATCAAAATCTTCATTCTGACAAAACTTGTGTCCAAGCCGCTTATTCTGCTTACAGGTCACTTCCCAAAGATTACCATGATGCTTCCTGTACACACATGACTTCTCCTCCAACCGCCAGCCGTCCTCGCCATTTGGAGAGAGGACGGCTAAACAACCAACCTATTCTATGTCCTGCCTCTTCTGACAAATCCAGGGTACTGAGAAGTCATTTCTCTCATGTACTTGAGTGACCTCCCTTCCAATCGTCAGCCGATATCTGGAAGGAGAAGGGTAACTCAGCAGCTCTACTGCTCACCTCTCAGCCGCCTCCTGTGTATAGTCAAAGCCGATGGTCAACCTCTCAGCGACAAAGGACTATAAAAGGAGGAGAAAAGAGGAATGCAGGGGGTAAGTGACTTTTGCTTGGCGATTTCTTCTTCATAAAAAACCACGAACCTACCTGGGTTAAGAAAGAACTAAAAAACTCTCAAAATAGTACGCTCCAAGGACCTCAATGGCCCGAGGACCTTCCCCCAAATCTCACTCAAGCTCCACAGGTGACTTCACCATCGGAGGTACCACGGGGGAAACTAGCCACGTACTCCTACAATTCTTACATGTGCAGGTCATCAGCTCACCCTGCATGCTCAGAATCGGGAGTAAAGTCAGAGGAGGAGTCGGCCCCAACATTCATCCTCTCCCTTCTCCTCGGTGCCGTCAGGATCGAAGTTGCATCCTACGGCGGAAAGCCCCCATCGACTGTTTGCTCACGAGCATCAATAGTTTGGCGCCCACCGTAAGGCCCACTTTCTTCTCTGAGAAGAAATGCCTAATTCTAAGCAGGGGGCCTGATCTTGTTCATTCTTGAATAAGTTTTTAGGGGAACTTCTTCTTCACAGAAAAAACTCTAAATCAATCTTTGCTAAAAAGAACTAAAAAACTCTCAAAAGAGTATGCTCCAAGGACCTCAATGGCCCAATGACCATCCCGCAAACCCCACTCAAGCTCTCATATTGACTTGACCGTCGGAGGTACCATGGGGGAAACGGTCTCCGCCCTCCCAACGGTTTGTCATTGTCTGTACAGAAAGATCAGGAATTCCAGTCGAAGGATCGGGCGTAAAGTCGGAGGGGGAGTCGGCCTCAACATCAATCTTCCTCATTCTCCTCAGCGTCGTCAGGATCGAAACTGCATTCTATGGGGAGACCCCTCATCGACTGTTTGTCAACAAGCATCAACAAGTGTAGTCCAAAACTAAATCATGTTAGTTTTTTACTTACCAGAGTGACTTTAGAGTCTTGTTTGGCAAACTACTAAAACAGTATTAGGTTCAAACCTGATTTAATTTTAATATTTTTTATAATTGATAAAAAATAGGCCAAAGCTGACACAATTTTTTTTAGTTTATTTTGAAAGTCATTTAACGAGGCTAGAATTGAAAAGACTGTAAATAATGTGGGGGAAAAAAAAAGCTTCCTTCCAAACATCAAAATCTCAAATCACAGAGCCAGACACGCCTTTTAAAATGCTGAGGTCGACCAACGGCGTCGAGCCCAGGCAGTTGCACGTTTCGAAGAAAAGTATCACAGATTTTTAAACAACTGGGACACGTGTCGCGTACTCAGTGGATCCTTGGCCCGAAGGCTAGCATAGCGACGCTCCGGCTAAGTTGGCGCTCGTGGTCCCCACATATGGCAGGCTGTGGAACGCAAAGAATCTCCACTTCGGAACCCAAATCGCAATTAAATCCGCTTCAAAATTTCCAAGCCAATATAAAAGCGATGACCAGGGCGAGGAAATTTAATAACAAAGTCCCCGCGGCATTTTTGAAGGTGTATAGGTCGCGGCCCGAGATCTCGCCGGCGAGACATTTCCACGAGAATTTGAAACTGAAGGATGAAGAAGGCCGGCGTCATCGCTGTCTCCGTTGCTGCCGCCTCTTCGGCGGCGCTTCATTCCAAGCTCCCGTCTGATTCTCACGAGGTATTTTACATAGAATTCGATCACTATTCTTAGACTATTACCGATTTTGGAAGTTCTTGAATTTTCAATTACACAGTATTTTTACCAAATTTGGAATTTTTAGCTTTGGAAGTGAAGGTTAGTTTTGTCTTTTTTTTAATGGATTTTTAGGGTTCAAAGAGGAAAGAAATGGGATCTGGATCGAGGGAGGGAGGCGAGGTCGAGAAATTCGCACCGAGATTCGACGGGTTGAGATTCATCGAGACGCTTGTGACGGCGCACAGATGAGACGACGGCAGTTGGTTCTTGGCGTTAAGTTGGAGTTTGATTTTTGACATTCAGACATAATTTGATGTGGGGATTAAAAACTTCAGCTTTTTTCTTTTTTTGTGATTGCGAATTGGTTTTTCTGGAAATTGTGAAATACGAGAGGTTTGGTAATTGAATATTTTGGATGTTTTCTCTATGCGTTGAATTTTTCAGCTTTTTTTTGGGTTATTTGCATTTACACACCTTATATCATGGGTTTCTTTAAAAATACCCTCTGAATCTCAGTGTTTGCAGACTTACCCCTCAAATCATCAAATTTAAAAAAATTACCTCAAATCAATTAATCAACTTTGAAAAGCTATTTTATAATCATAATGTAAAAATTATTGACAGTGCGGTCAAACTTTTATCGCACCAAGTTTGATTTGTTAATATTAGAGGCAATTTTTAACAAAGTTATTTAAGGGGTAGTTTTCTAAATACTAGAATTTTGTGTTTATTTTTGTATATACCCATTATTTAAGGGGTATGTCTCGTAACAAGCCATTTGTTTGGGAGATGTTTGGTGAAATATTTTTGTGGATGTCCCTTATATTTTCGCAAGACGTTGGCAGAAATTATTAATTTTGTAAGAAAAAGATAGTGAGGCCCACACACAATACTTGTTATTGCAGTGAAAACTCTAAATTCCTCGGTTTGTGGACCCGTGATTTGATACTAGTGCCCTTCTGTCAGTAGCCTTTATTATATTTTCTATGCGACGTAAAACTTGTGAAGGATGAATCTTATTACCGAGCGGTAGGATATTCCTAACATGGGACAGTTTTGGTATTTGATTAATTAATGAGTGATTACGATTTGTATTTGAATGTAAAGTCTGAAAGATTGTAATTTATGAGGATATACCGAATGTTAAATTAGAATGAATCATTATATCCACGAGTTAAAAACAATAGAATGATTAAAACCCACATTCACATCTAGTATTTCTAACTGAAAAACAAAACGTCGAAAATACTATTCATGCCAAACAAATTATTATTTTTACTCTGGCACGTTTCAGGATATTAAACACGGTTCATACTACATTAAAACCATATAAATATTGTTCATACTACAATGTAAATTTTATCTTTTTTGGCTCTTTATCAACTGTTTAAGCTAAAGTAACATTTTTTAACCATGAAAATATTGTTCATATATTCTTCTTCTTTTTGTTCTTGCAAATGTTAAATTTAACTTTTATCAGACATTTCACAAATATAGATCTTTTTCTGCTCTATTACAAAAATTTGATAAAACTTGCTAATTGGTGTATTATTTTGTTTAACTGTTTTGAAAATTCACCCCTTAAACAGTAGTAAAAAAAATCATCGCTGAAATTTTTATAAATAATTTTTTTTGAAGCAGAAAACAGGGTGAGATATCATGTTCAAAAATATATTGATATAGAAAAAGAGTCTAGAATATACAAAACCAAAAACTGGCTAAGCCACAAAAAGTGAGGATAGGAACCGAAAAAGATGTTATCGGAGGGAAGCGGACCCTAGTCGTCACTCTCCAAATAACAGCTGCAAAGCTTCCTAACCTACCATAGATCACTAATAAACTACAAAAAGAAGGCCATGTATTTGGTTTTCGTAGTTGGTGACTGTTCTAAACATTGGTGGGTTACAACCAAGTCCCGTTGGTTTGAAGTCCTAGAAGTCATCAGCAAGTGGAGGAAGTGTATTGGCAGAAAGGTGATCCGTTGTTCTGATTTTGGTAGGGGGTCCTTTTTTTCATTTGTGCCGAGCTCACGGTAGTTTGAGATACTTCATTGGAGAGGAAACATTAGGGCGACAAGATGAGATGATAGTTTTTATGGGTCGTTCCTCGCTGGAGGAGGATCAACGTTTGATGTCGAGCATTGGATTTGGTGTTCGGGCTTCGACATGTTTGGGTCATCTTAGTCATAGGTTGCCGACTACTGTGTTTGGAGGTTTTGGATCTGGTAGAGCTGTTTCAGATTTTGGGTTGCGTCGGATGTTTGGTTGCCCAGTATTTGGTCACATCGAGGATGTGGGATTTGATCTGATTGCACATTTGGGATTCAGAGGATCGTTTGGTTATCAGTTGGGAGACTCTGATTTTGTTCTGAGAAGGTATGTCATATTTAACTCTCGGCAGGTAGAGAATGTTGATCAGATCATTGGGATATCACAGCGGGTGGAGGGTGATGCTACTCCTCATTGGGTAAAGATTACTCTACATACTCCAGATCATACTACATCGTTTGGGATTCCAGCTGAGGTTACACAGTTTGAGGATCATTTAGATTTAGATACATATGATGAGTTGGTTGATTCGAGTGTAGCTGGTGGACATAGTTTGGATTTGGATATGGCCGTTGATTCACCTCAGGTGGAGGTGTTTGGTTTGTTTCACTTTAGGGCCATCGGGAGAGCTATCAGCCACAGATTTGTTGGTGAAGAGTTGAGAACCCTTCTATTGGATTAAGGGTCTTTGGAGTCCATTTGGTAAAACTATGTGAAGGCTTGATTCCTTGGGAAAGAGGATACGTAGGCAGTCATTTATGATGCAGCCAGTTTGGTGAGTTGATACCGACATTTGGAGTTTGTTCGCATTCTTGTTTGGGTTCTCGACTTGTTATGGATTGAGTCCGTTGTCATGGATTTGTTCAACTTCGTACTGGACGCAATAAGTGAGATGTTTGGTTGGTATTGGTGTCGGCTCGGTTTTGGGAAGACTTCGTGAAGAATTGTTGGATAGCAGGTTCCTAATATGTTTCCTAATTTATTTTGGTAACAGATTATTAGGATTCCTAATCTGTTTTGTTTTTTGTTTTAGAATTCCTATTATGTTTTTGGTTTTAGGATTTCTATATTTATGGAACGATTGGAAGAGATAATAGAGCAGCGAAGGGGATATTTGGAGCACAGAAAAAAGGTATTTTCTAAGGTATTGGTTAGGGTGTTTATTTGGTGAGAATGAGAGATTTGTTGGTGAGATTAATTAGTGAGTTCGAGTGATTGGTTATTCTTCTCTCGTGCTTACAACTTGTTTGGTGAGCAAGCACGCTTCCGCATAGGCTCACGACAATTGGTATCAGAGCACAACAATCCGCGCACAACGGACAACGGCCCTATGAATACGCTGAGATTTTCTGCTGCTTGAAGCACATATCCAGAATAATATGAAACGAGCAACATTAGAGGCAATGGACAGAGGAGAAATAGGAGAATTGTTGAAAATGAGGTTGTTTCGACTGCTACAAATACACCAACAAAGACATGGGAATAAAAACCTCTATAACTTCCTTTGGTTAGGGTTGTCCAGGAATACGTCCTTCTCTGAAATCATTGTAGATACCTCTTTTGGCCAATTTCTGAGATTTGATGAAGGGAAGAGGATGCACCATACCTCAGAAGAGAAAGAGCATGAAAAGAATAGATGGTCATGGGTTTCCCTCTCCTGGTTGCATAGAGTACAAGAAGGATCACCTCCCCAGCTCTTATTGATCAAGTTATCTTTGGTTTGGAGTTTCTTCTTGCTCAGAATCCAAAGAAAAATTTTGACTTTTAATGGCACAGGGGAATACCAGATAAAGTTATGAAGAGGGGAGATAGTGCCTCCATTATTGAGAAGAGAGTAAAAGGATTTCATAGTGAAGGTGTTTGATGAGTTAACAAGCTATTGAACAGAGTCGGGAATGTTTAGAGAGGTCGTGAATTGAACAATATATTGAAGGAGGTTAGCTTTGTCCATTCTGTCTACTTCTGTTATACCTCTTCTAAGAATAGGATTTCATCTCCAAAGATATTGATGCAGAACACCCTGGTAGGAAACAAAACTAGTAGGGGAGAAAACCAGTCTAAAAGCCTTAGGAAAAATACTGCATAGAGAGTTGTCTCCAGACCATTTATTAGTCCAAAATTTGCAAGTCTTGCCAGAACCGATAACCCATCTATAACAAAGTTAAAAAAGGGTTGATGAATAGAGTGTAAATCATGGATGAACCTGGAAGCATACCTCCTAGGAGGGTTGGATATAGGATTAGAATCATTTGAAGAGTAGATAGAGAAGATCACTTTACTGATAAGGCTTTTCCTTATCTAAAGTTTTCCAAATCCACTTAAAGAGGAGAGTTTGATTGAAATTGTGCATGTCAATAATCCCAAGACCACTTGCACGTTTGTCTTTATAGACATTTTCCCACTTGACCAGGTTTTTACCTCTACGGTACTGAGGGTTACCGCCCCAAATAAAGTTCTCTTGATTTGATCGGTGGCTTCGATGACCCAACAAAGAAGTTTGAAGAATGACATATAATATAATGGAATGGAGTAAAGAACATAATTTATAAGAGTGAGCCTACCTCTAATGGATAAGGATCTATATTTCCAAAGAGCAAGTTTAGAGGAGGAGTTAAGTAAAGGTTGGCATTCTCTTCTAGAGAGAGAGCCCCTCTTTAGCGGGAGACCAAGATAGATGAAGAGGAGAGCTCCAATTGGGCAGTTAAAAACTTTAGCAAGCTGAGAACCTTTATGGTGAAATTTGCCAAGGTAGAAGAGGTTAGACTTAGAATAGTTGACATTGAGACCAGAGATGTTGGCAAAAATTCTGAGGATGTTATTTAGGACATCTGCATCATGATTGTTAGCTCTGCAAAAATTATGAATGTCGTCAGCAAACTGAAGACTGGTGAGTTTACCTTGATTGAAAGAGACTATACACCTCTTCGAAACGCGCGTCGCCACCTGTCTTGTGAAATCGCCTTTTCGCCTTAACTGTTGCCTATTCGAATTCATCCCGCCTGTTTGGTTCAAAAGTCGCTGCTGTGGAATTCATTATAACTTTGTTTTATTACAACAAATTCGAAAGAATAATCTTTTTATAAGACTTTTTCTACACAACAAAACAAAAATTACAACTCTTGAGAAACAAACACGAAAATCGTCTATCAATTCTCGTTTTCATGGGACTTTGCCTGTGCCGGGAACGCTTTGGTTCGTGGACCGCCGATTCACAGATCGTGAAGAGGGGGCTTATGATTCTAACTTCGTTATCGAAGTAGAAATTGAAACGATATCTTATCGAAGTAAGATAGTCGTTCTTCTTAAAATCAAGTCGAAGCTTAATTTCAAGGCGTTGCAAGAAAAGAACTCAAATCTCTGCTCTCTCTGCTCTGGAATG